AATTTCAATTTCACAACAGTGGTAAACATGACATAAGCTAAGTGACCTTTTTCTTGTAAAGCACCAGAGGGCTTTGAGAGTTAAAGAGGCTTACCTGCTACAGGTGGTTATTGGCCAGGATCTCCCACAAATATTTTTGATTTACCACCAAAGAGTTGGTCAGTCAAACCAGTAGCCTGTCTGCACGGCTCATCAACCCAGGCAAGCATTTTTTGGCCTAACACGGAATATTCATTAATTACAATATAATCAATGTTTTTGAGTGCAATTGGAGTCTAACAAGGCTCTGTTCACATAGTTCTTTATTCCCTTTTTGAGCAACAGGAAGTTTCAAAAGTGAATGGATAGTACATCCATGTATGCTGAATGAAGCCTTGCCAGTTGTGGCAGTTACTGCACGTGAATGTTGAAGAAGGTTTTTAATGGCATTTATTGGTAACTTTTTCCTGTACCGGCATCACCTATTATTATAACTAGTAATGGATCCTTTGGAGGAGGTTGCTCTGAATGTGATTTGATGATATCATAGGCACACTTCTGCATATTACTAAAAGTACTGATATCAACATTTTCTCTTCACTACAAACTTTCTTTAGTTGATGCATCCCTGTTGATTTTTATCCATGGAGACATTTGTTTTATTTGACTTCCTTGATATTTCAATCTGTCAGTTTGCCAATTGTAATCTGAGTTACTAATCTTTTGTAATTGAATATCTGAAGCTCATGATCTCAGAACAAGATCTGCTTAAAGCATCCATTCCTTGCATTGAGGAAGTTCTCATGTAGTATGTTCTATTTCAGTGTCATCTTTCTTGTAATTCTACATGGTGTCTAACTTATCATGCCAGTCAGAAACATGTTCCTTTGCATATGGGGTTTCTAAAAATTTTTCCATTGAGTGATGTAAATTTCATCATTACCTGGTTGATTACCCCTAGCATTTTCTTGGGTTCTCTGCCAGGGTTTATATCTGATCAGCTGGTATTTACATGCAGTAAGGGAGAAATTTGGGCCTCTGTTATTTGGAGAGTACACAGGAAAAACCCTAAGAACAATATTATCTGCCTGTGCTGCAAGTTTTTTTGTTGACTGTAACGATGTTGCCCAGATGGCTGTATATAATAAACCAGATTTAACTATAGAAAGAAACTACACTTTATTTGGCCGCCATGACACCCGGAAAGCATAGCCCACACAACTATCCATGATCCTTTGCATGTTTTCAATGTCCGAGAACTTCCACTAACACAACTTCCAGTAAACAATACTATCAATACATTACATCCTTTCCTTTCTTTAGAAACAAACAGATAACAGCAAAAAAAAGTCTGCTTAAAAATTTTCTGCTCGCATTGAGTAATTTCAAAAACAAAAACTGTTGAATAAAATCTAGTAACATGAAACCGAATCTAACAGACTTCAACATAAGTCCAACGTGTCAACAGAGTTCAGTTCATAAAGTACATAATCCTTGTACTTCTCCGGCATTCTGACAGTCCGCCTTGGTCTTGATGTCACTATACTCTCCTCCAGTGGAAGGGTATTGGTTGTTTCTTGAGAAATGGCCTTTGTGGTTTCTGGTAATTCCCCTGGTGGGTTGTACCGCTTAACCAATGCACTGTACCGCCTATATTCCACACCATCCTTGGAGCTAACAGTCACCTCACTACCTTCCTTAGTCTGCACAGTGTATGGCTCACTCTCGAAATTTGCTTCCAGCTTGCCAGATGTTTTCATGTTCTTCAGTAAAACCAGATCCCCAGGTGTTACAGGGATTTTGGTGGCACCTCACTTGTTGTCAGGATGTTCCTCGTGGATCAACATGTGATTCCAATCACGATCTCTGACCCCCTCATCCAACAGGTTTCCAGCGCACCTTAACTCTGGAAGCTTTGTTTTCAACTCTCTGTCAAACCTCGCTTGTTGTCAGCATGTTCCTCGTGGATCAACTTGTGATTCCAATAACGATCTCTGACCCACTCATCCAACAGGTTTCCAGCGCAACTTAACTCTGGAAGCTTTGTTTTCTACTCTCTGCCAAACACAAGGAATGCAGGAGTAACACCAGTGCTTGTTTGCGGTGTGGTTCTATATGCTAACAGAAACTTCTGTAGTTCTTCACACCAGTTCTTTCCCTCGACGTGCGCAACTTTCAAAGACTTAAGCAGACTTCTATTCTGTCTTTCAACATGTCCATTGGCCTGCAGCCAGAGCGGTGGAGATGTCAAGTGTTCGATTCCGTGATCAGAGAGAAACTTCTCAAACTCCTCACAGCAAAATTGAGGACCGTTGTCAGATTTGAGTGTAAAGGGAAATCCATATCTAGAGAATATCTGTGTCAACCACCACTCTCTCAGCTGCTGTTGAGCGCATGATTGCTACCTCAGAATCTACTGTAATAATCTACGACTACGAGCAAACTTTCTCCAGTGTGAAGAGGACCCATCAAGTCTATGGCGATGTCTTGCCAGGGTCCAGTAGGTGGCTTTACTCTTTTCATGGGCTCAGGAACCTGAAACTTACCTACGACTTGGCATCCATGACAAGATTTACACACCCACTTTGCGTCTGAGTCAATCTTTGGCCACCAAACCTTTGACCTTAAACATGCCTTCATTTTTACAATGCCCCGATGTCCCTTGTGGGCAAGACGCAAGACTTCTTCTGGTAAAGGCTTCGGAATAACAATTCTTGTGCCGCGCAAAACAAGTTTGCCCAACACACAATTCGTCCTTGACACACATAAGCTGTCATCCTTCACTGAGACCAGTCCTCACTTAAAATGTACTGTCTCAGGCTAGCAATTTCTGGGTCACTATTAGAAGCCAATTCGACTTGTTTCACTGTCCGAGCAACAGGTAAACTTTCCTCAGCGACCTCCTTGACAAAATCAAATTCCTCCCCACTTGTGTCTTTAGGTTCACATTGATTGAGTCTCGAGAGAGCGTCCGCAATGTTCGCTTTGCCAGGCCGATAAACAACTCTGTAGTCATACCCCTGCAACCTCACAACCCAAGGTTCAATACGTGCTGATGGTTTTGAAAGCCTGCCAAAAATACACTCAAGTGGCTTGTGATCAGTTTCAAGTTCAAATTTGCATTAATGCTGAACCTCTCACAAGCCCATACTAGGGCAAGGGCCTCTTTCCTAGTCTAACTGTATCTCCATTCCACTTCAGTGAGGTTCCTGGACACATACGAGATTGCTTGCCACTCGCTGTTTTGAAGTTGAGTCAGTATCGCACCTGGACTTGCATTGGCAATAATACGCGTGTTACAGTCTCCTCTGAAATATGCAAGTGTAGTGGCCTGTACAACTAGCTGTTTCAACTTCTGGAAGGCCCTTTCTTGAGCTTCACCCCTGATGAAAGGCTCACTCTTTCTCAGGAGGCTCCTGAGTGGTTCTGCTTCTTGCGCGAAGTTGGGAAGAAACTTTGCAGAATACTGTACAAGCTGAACAAATAATCTGACCCGTGAAGCATCTTGTGGAGGGCTTGCCTTCAAGATGGCTGCTACTTTCTCTTCACTGGGCACAACACCTTTGCTTGCTTAGTTCATGACTGAAAAATGTCAGCTTGGGAAGACAAAACTGGCATTTGTCCCCATTAAAAGTTAGTCCTTTCCCTTTCAATCGGGTCAGTACGGCATGCAAATTCCTGTCATGTTCCTTTATGCCACAACCATGCACAATCAAATCGTCTGCCAAATTAGCCACTCCCTCGCAACCATGCAAATTATCTTCCACAATTTTCTCGTACTTTTCAGGCATTGATGTTGCCCCAAACATCAAACATTTGTACCTGTACAAACCACGGTAACAAACGTTGTGATCTCTCGCGATGTCAAGTTCCACCTGGTGGAAGCCCCACTTGAGGTCGAGCTTTGAGAAAACAGTTGAGCCATTAAGGTCGTACAAGACTTCCTCAATTGTAGGGATAGGATGTCTTCCCCTCTCTATTGCTGAATTCGCCTTGTGCATGTCCACACAAATCTGACTGTCACCACCTGTCTTCAGGACAACAACTAATGGCAACACCCACTCAGTTGGGTTGTATGACACCTCCTTGATGATGTCTTTGGCTAACAGCTCATTCAACTTCTCTTCAACCTTAGCTCTTAACCCAAATAACAGTCTCTTTATGTGTTGTGCAACAGGCTCGACATCGTCTTTTATATGTTATTTCAGCTGGAAATCCTTCAGTTTCCCGACCCCTGTAAAAACCTCTATATACTTCTAACGGATGTCGGCATCATTTCCTTCAGTAGTTAATGAACACACATCTGGACCAACCCTTAACTCGCCCAACTTTTCTGCAGTGTTCTTTCCGAGTAGAGGCCTTTCTGGACCTTTAACCACTGTGAATTCGTCCACACAACTGTTGCCACTGATCTTGCACACAATCTCAGACACAAATGTCCTGATCACCTCAATAGGGTCTTTCTGCCCATAAACGAACAACTTTTTGCTTGATTTCTTGGACTCACACTGAACACTCTTCTTCCTCAAAACTTCCCAGGTTGTTTGGTCAATCACATTGCATGACGTGCCAGAATCAATAAGTACCACGGGCAACATCACTCCTCCAGTCTTCAAATCTACTTGACTACCACTTTTAGGCTGACCAACTCCAACCGCAAATGCATAATAATCTTGTTGGCCAGTGGCTGAATCCTCTGATAGTTGGTAATCTCTCCTCTGTGCATTATTCCTTCCCTCGTCATCTCTTGCGGAAGGTTTGAGTTCCTTTGTTTTGCAACTGACTGCAAAGTGTCCAATCTCGCTGTATGAATTACATTTCTTGTTACGGGTAGGACAATTCTGGTCACTTGCCATATGGTCAGTGTAATTACAGCAAAGACAGCCACTCACTTTTGTCTCCTGAGAACTACTAGATGGTTTACCAGGCTTATTTCCTCTGCCTCTACCCTGTGCTGTCCTTTTTCCTGTTCCTTTGCTGTGAGGTTTGCCGGAGACAGCATTCACCTGACCAGATGACTGATCCATAGCTTTGACCTGCATGTTCACTGCTTCCTACACAAGAGCCAAATCTTGTAAACCCCTCAGAGTAGCATTTGTTTTCTCAAGGAACTTACAGTGAAGTCTGTGATGCCTGCATCTCTCAATAAGCTGATTCCTTGTTGCCTCATCAACATTTTCAAACTCACAGGAGATTGCTTTCTGCTTCAACTGACAAAAGAACTGATCCACCGACTCTCCTGACATTTGTTCCATTTGCCTAAACTGACGTCTTTCAAATGGAACATTCAACTGTGGTGCGAAATAGTTATCCAACAACACCATACTCTTAGCGAACGGCTTGATATCTGTTCCAGTCAATAACGTGTAATAAAGCTCCTGAAAATTCAACCCTCCAGTATGCAACAGAAATGCAGTTTTCTGTTCATCTTTCGTAATACCCTTTGCCACCAAATACAGATTAAACAAGCATTTCCACAACTTCCAGTGAGCTGCAAGGGTGTTCAGATCTTCCTTTGGATTGAAGGGGGAAAGGCTGGCCACATCAAGAAGAGGAATAAACGTCGCAGCTGGCAAAGCTTGTGAACTTGAAGTTGTACTCAAACTGGTTCCACTGTTCATCACCTTTCTGACAAAATGCTAGGACGTTCCACACAAATGACTTCTAAAAACATCCACTACCTCATAAAACGAATTGAATCCTTGTCGCCAATGTAACGATGTCACCCAGATGGCCGTATAATAAACCAGAGTTAACTATAGCAAGAAAATACACTTTATTTGGCTGCCATGACACCTGGAAAGCATGGCCCACACAACTATCCATGATCCTTTGCACGTTTTCAATGTCCGAGAACTTCGGCTAACACAACTTCCGGTAAACACTACTATCAACGCATTACATTTACAAGTTTGTACTTTTTAGGGAAAGTAATTAAATTTAAATTCAGTTTATTGGAAATTTCCTTAACATACACTGCACAGTGAGTATAAACAATTAAGAAGGGGATCATTTGTTGCCACTTCTTCAGGAGAATTTGTTACTATTTTATGAGATCCATTTAAATTAATAGGTATTACATTAAATGATCAGCTGACCAATTAGTGACAGTAAGTGATGGATGGTTTCTTGTGTAGAAAAGCCCCTTTGCCTAAGTGACTTCATTATTACGTATTTAATCAGTTTCGTGGGATTGCTTTCAATGTCACAATTACAGAGAATGGAATTGAATGCCGATTTCATAGCGGAGGAATGTGGCTTGCCTTTTGATGCATATTTGGCAAGGTATTCAACACAAGCATGATAATCATTGACTACCTGAATGTCACAATTGGCTCTCCAGCCCTGCAGTTGAAGGCGTTGGTGATTATTAAGTCTAGTTACTATCTTTACTTTGTATTGGTTGGGTTGTTTTTCTGAATGTATAGGCTCAAATTGAAGCTTTGTACATGGGCAAGGTTCAAATGGAAAGTTAAACTTACACTGAAGATTTGAATCATTTTTTATTTTTTGAAGACAATAATTTAAACTGCAGAGAGTGTCTTTGGACAGTATTCAGTAAATAAATGCAATCCTCAGTACTCTCTATGTGGTTGTGATGTTTCTGAGAAGGATGAATTGACGATTTTAGCCAAATACCATCGTCTGAAGGGACTGGATGGTATGTGGATACCAACCAGTCCACATACTGGTAGAATCGGCCCTGGACCATTTTTCAGTTTAGCAACTCCATGGCAATGAATGCTTCCCCTCGCTTGGTATTCAAATCTGTACCAGTACTCCTCTGCATTTAGTAAATTATTCGACCAAAACTTAATAACCTTTTCCAAGCCTTGGGTGAAAAACCAATTGGTAATATGAGGACTGTTTACAACATTCGGATGCCTGTGCTCAGCTGTGCGATCATTTTCACTACCAAAGAGTGCATGTAATTCAGGCCAGTGCATATCAGCTGATGGAAATATAAAAAATAGAGTTTGTGGTCCAACATGGCTAATGATTGTTTTTACATCTTCTTGAACCAGTAAGCATTTGATCCACTGATATAACCAAGACATCGTGATAATGTAGAAAGAAATACATCAGCATTGTTATTGGCTGCCATTTGCTGAAGCTCTTCTATTGTAAGATTTGCTTCAGCTGGATTCTGGTTGAGAAATGTTCCCGTTTGCTGTTATTTGCTATTCAATGCCCAGTATGAAAGTCTAGGGTGTGAGGCAAAGCAATAAATCAATTTACTGTCTTTCTTTTCTGCATATTTTAAAAGATGCTTCATTGCTTCTCCGAGTGGTTCATCTTTGTAAAGAGATAGGTTTGTAAGGTCATCACCCTTACCATTAGTAAACAAAGTTGGGAAAGCCATCGTTGCAAGAAATGGAGTTTTGTACTCATTTAATTGGTCAGTATCTACTTTTGGTCAAGAGATGGCCTCATCATGATGGGTTGAAGATAATTGTTCTTGAATAGCTTTAAGAGGCAACCTCTGTAAAAGCGGTCCAGGGCATTTCGCATCGGAATAAAGTTTTCCCTCAA